ATTGGCAGCATAGTAGATATTTCCTCACCTGTTTTTTCTTGAGGTCTCTGAGAGCAGCGATGTCATCAGGAGCATCAGAAGGCACACTGGTAACTATCCCCGTACCTGAGAATAAATGTTGACAAGGCAAAAAAAAGGCCAATACATAAAATGCATTTATGCATGCCAGGTAGTACACGTCTGATTGACATTATGAATATTCACCACTATTGCCGAGCAGCGATACTGGAGCAACTAACTCACTGTGAAGAGGGGGCAGGACAGATAAACCTGATCTGAAAACGGAAAAATGTCACCGGCCTCTCGCATTGCTCTCCATAACCCTTAAAACCATCACACACACACTGGGCACTTATTCAGAAATTCCAATTAAGGCTATTTTACAAAACAAACGTCAGGACACATGAAGACACTCAGACAAACAACAGCCCTCGAGCACCAGAGCAGAACAACAGATAGTACTGACAGAGGCCTCTGGGTGCAATTAGATTGATTTAATATGTTTACAAATGTTCTCCCTCAGGTCAAAAAAAGCAGCCATGCTTTGACATCACAGCACAACACCTACAGTAATACATCCTACAGTGACCTTGGCTGGCTATTTTGAGACTTTTCTAAAAAGCTCCTCCAATTATATCGAAGACAAGGAAGGATAAGGGATAAAGCTCCTTGCAGATTGTCTGCAGAAGGTAATACCGTAAGCAATAATTTATCTTTATTTAAAACACAGACATATAAATAAATACACATTTAAAGCAGCTGTTGAACTATTCAACAACTGTCAGATACATTTCACTCAAATTCAACTTGGCACATAAAAACAGAAACAGAAAGAAAAGTGCCTCCACCCGAGGGTATTCTGACTGCTGGCAAAGAAACCTTTCAACAACGAAGCCACTTTAACCACTGTGGAAAATGTCTGCCTGCTATTTTCCCCTAACTTCTTGGCTCCTACCTTTGTCCTCCTTGATGGTGAGCATGGGCAGAGCGTAGATGATCTTATAGGAGGTCAGAGGAGCACTCAGGGCACAGCCAAGGACATCCTAGAAAGAGAAAAGATGCTGCAGAGCCTGGTTTGATTTCCACTGTATATTGCAAATGTGCCTTGCTTCTTCCCAGGTAAAAGGAAACGGTAGAGCATGAGTAATTCAAAAGGAATCAATTTTGCAAGTTGTTTGTGCAATGGCCATGAAACCGTGTGCCCGATATGAAGTAGAATGTATTTGCAGCTGAAGGTGGTACCTGTCCCAGTATTTCCATGACCACGGGCACCACTCCATTCTCTTTGGTGAAGCCCTGGTAAGACATGTTCCTGGCAGACCTGCTGGTGCAGATGAAGATGTCCCCGCTGGTCGTCTCAAAGGCCACATACTTCATGTCGGGCCTGACCCAGCAGTTGGTCTGACCGAACATGGTCTCTGGTCTCAGAGTGGCAGCAACCAGGTAGATGTTTTTGCCTTTCATGGCGCTGTGAGGAGAGGATTAGCGCTTTACTTCAGTCTCACATTACGAGTCGGTAGTACCGTGTTTATCAAAATGAGCATTATAGTGAAGTGCACGTAGAAGTTGTCTGTGGTGTAGACTGTCTGTTAAAAGTCAGTGATTGTTCTTTGTTACCTGCTATAAAAGACTTTGGACTTGAATTTTGCCGTGTAGGGTTCAACTATTTTCATCTTGATGAGAGTGTACTCCTGAGGTCCAACTCCCTGCAGGTGGAGAACAATGGTAGTTCAAAGACAAAGAACAAAATACAGAAAGACCATTTTTAAAGGATTTGTTATTTTCCTTTTTGTGCCATCATCAGTAAGACAAACATTCGCAAAATGAAATCCGTGGAACTTTCTACATCCCAGTAAACTGCAGTAAAGAGGCAAAAATGGTGAGTCAAATAAAAGCACTGATGAGCCCACGGTCAAGTGTGTACATTAAAGAACGATAATATAAAAATTGGCAAAATTGTGAGAACACAGTTCCTTTTAATGTTTGCTGTAGGATTCCCAATTGATCATATATAATCATAATCACAGTCTTGGTCTTTCACAACCGATACATTATTTCATTGAGCCAGGTAAGTGTACCTCTCCTGTCTGCCTGTCATGGTCCATGCATGGCTGCCCATCCTTGGGGGAGAAGATGGTATATCTGCAGAGGAGTCGGGGACAATCACAATATATTACTGATTCCCTTTGCTTTTCCCACATGGAAAGAAATGACATTGGTACAGGACTTCGTTTTAGGCAAAACAGTTCAACTGATCCTGAAAGCAACAAAGACAAAGTGTCCGACATTTTCACACCACATAATGTAGTGCACTTCCTACTTTCCTTACTTATCTCTTTATTACCACCAAGATAGTGCTGCAGAGCAAGTTACGCAGTCACATGGTAACTCCTAAACCACCTCACCTTTTGCCAAACGCGATCTTTTTTCTCTCCTTTAGTGTGATGAACTGCCACCGGACGAAGGAGTCATAAAACGGGTTCACATCGGTGGTGATGAATGAACGCCTCCAGTCCACCTGTGAAGTGATGACATGAGACCAGGATTTAGGCACAATCGACTCAATGAATAACGTGATTATCCTCAGGGTCGATTCATTCTGGTGAACTCTAGGTATCAAACAAAAAGAGAGGACTCACTTTAGTGTATACCTCTTAACACATATGCTTAGATCATTTAGCCCAATGACAGTAAATTGTACACAATTATGTAAAAATAGTGTAGAATCAAAGCATATTGAGGAGTCGCAGGTACAGAAACAAAACAAACTCAGATGTTTGCTAGAGTTACAATTAGTCACCTTGACTCCCATCAGTTTGAGATCTTTAACAGCCATCGGAGGAAAGTATTCCAGCCAGTGTTCAGCATGGGCAAACTGGGATATGTCCTGGTCCTTGAGGCCCAGAGACCTCATAATGTCCCACTGGAAAGTGGCCGTTCCGGATTTGGCCACTGCTTTACTCTAACAGAGGAATAAAATATAAAAAAATAAATAAGAGATGAAAGATATTGCAAATTGACACACCCTTTGTGAATGCTGAACCAAAAGAAGAAAAAAACACTTGGAGTAATGAGCCATAGCTGTTAGAGGCAAAAACATCAACTGTGTTTCTTTCAGTCCCTATGTGGAACTTGGCATCAGTCAGGTCCCTCGGATCCTGACCTTCTTGCCCTTTGCTTTGTCCTTGATGATGATTTCATCAGATATATCTGGCTTCTCCTTCTCCTCCTCATCTGGAAACTGCGGAGGGTTTCCATAAAGCTCCATCTCTCTCTTCAGCTTGTCTGCACAGGCCTGGTGGAAACAATATGAATGTATCAATACCAGAAAGAAGGAAAAGGCAGTGTTTGTGAGGGGGTTGAAGATGCAGTACTAATTGTTGGAAAAAAAAAAAAAAAAAAAAAAAAGTAGAATATCAGCTCTATGTGTCTTTGCAACTACACTGAAAAGAAAACAACAACACTAACTTTGATTGGCATTCCTGTGCAGTGCAGCGCGAACGGGAAGAGGCATTTCTTCCCTTTCATGGACTGGTAGCCAACAGCAAACTACGAGAAGAAAGTACAGCAGTGATCATAATCATCGAAAAAGGTGCAGACTGAAGATGTTAATCCCAGTTGCTTTTGTATGAAAACTTACCTCACACTTTGACAAGCTGAACGTGTGACCGAGGTGCAATCGGCCATTCATGTAAGGGTAGGGGAAGGTGACGAAGAACTTGTTTTTGCTGGAAGAACAAAAAAAATAAAGAGTTTCATCAATATATGTAAAGGATTTCAAATCTGGTATCTTTTTATGAGCAAAGTGCTGTAAATTGGGAAATAACACAGGGCAACTATTAGTTTCAAAGACTCACCCTTGGTATGTTAACTATGTAAACAACTGAATCTCAGAGCTTCACCCACACTTGCATAGCTAGTTTTTTTTTTATGTACCCATTATAATACCTGTTTAGTTGCATCAGGATTAGATCAGTTGAAGGAAGTACACCTGCATTCCTGAGTACAGCAAGCTATGAATATTGCTTTCTTAAAAGATGGTCTTACATTTCTGGCTATTCCTCGGTCAAGTGTGTAAAAGAGAGTGCCTGACACTTCTTGGAAATGAACATATGGTCCTTCCTCATGATAACAGACACTCACTTTGTGCTTTCCCCAACTGTTGTCGGTGCATCTTGTTCAAATGCCTTCTCCTTCTCCCATTTCTCCTGGATCTCTATCTCAATCTTTCTCAAGAAGTCCAACTTTGCTGTTCCCTTCCGCTCCTGCAACACAATGAAGTGCAAGATTATAGATCATTGGAGAAAGTGCAGTACAGTAATAACTGCAATTCAACTGAATAAAACATTTTTTTGATAACAAATATACACTTTAAGGAAACTCTTAAGTACCCGAGAATAAAATATAATATGTTAGAATAAAAAACTGATAATAAAAAAACTGTTCAACACATGTGTTCAAAAAGAAAACAGCTGTAATCTCTGGTCAAACTCAGACAGTTGACTCGACAACTAGCTAGCTTATGTTAGCTAATTTAGCTACTTGCTACAGTAAGTTAACGAAACCACTTCTTACAAACCAGCATTAACCGTTTTAAACAGCAGATAAATAGAGCATACTACCTACCGTCATTTCGACCCCAAACTATGAGCAATTAAGATAATTATTATATTGTTTAGACAGAAGAAACAGTAGACGTAGAATCCACTTTGACAAGACGAACCCACGCCACCGGTGCCTAGCTGACGACACCTACGATCAGCTTCACGCAAAGGGTTCTGGGAAATGCAGTCCGAATAACTTTTCATGAATGTTATTGTTCCATATCTTGTAAACTAGGACTTTTATTTGCGTGGTTTTTTTTTTTGCTTAGTGTTACATATTTGAATACACAACTGCTGAATTTTATGAACGCCGTTGAATAATCACACGACATGATTTCAACGTCCGTCGTCTGGCACTGCGTTTACGACACCTCAACTTGTGTTGCCATGCCGTAAAGCACTTTTGTCCGACCTGCCAGTGAAGAGAGAGACAGAAGGCCTTAAAGCTTATACATTTTATAGACGATGAAAGCAGGATTATCGCAACGCACTTTCATTTTATAGACAGTATTATAGTCTTTTCTCACAATGATCATAGAGAATGTGGAAGCCCTGAAATCGTGGCTGGCAAAGCTCCTGGAACCAATGTGAGTGTTGAATCGAAATGGCATTTAGCTTGCATGGTACGTAGCTACGATAGCTAGCTAGCCAAGTGGGTTAGCCAGGCATCAATGGGGGACTTGCTAGAATCAGATGGCGAATTCTTGCACGAGTTAGCAAACCACCATTGCCCGCTAGCTGGCTTTCCATAGAAAAAAGAGAGACTGTAGGACTACTCGTTAGCTCACGTTGAAGACGTTAACATTGGTGCACGATGTAAAGCGTTTTGTCGCAGTTATTTTAGGGTAAGTTAGGCACGTAGCGCCAGTTGGCCCACGATAATGTGACTTTATCACAGCTCGGTAAGCAAGCTATCAAAAGCTGCACTAGATAACTTGCACGCTGTTGACGTTACTTGAGATTAAAATACGTGCAGGCTCGTTTTTTGACTTATATCTAGCGTTACGTTATGGAGTTGTTGTTGTTATATATGAGGTTTTATAAATAAGAGCTGTTTTATTTACCATAGCTACACACACTCTTAGTGCGTCTCTTTCACATGTAAATCAATAAATTACATCGTAATGAAGAGGACACGCGCTTAAAACATTGGAAATGAAAGTGTAGGTAGTTTTTGAGACTATATACTGTAGTTAGTCATTTAGTTATGTAAGTTAGTTATATATTAGCTTGGAGTTGTCAAGAGTGTTTTTCTGTGGCTTTGTATGCTTGTGATGTTTTTGTAAAAAGCCCCAACAGGACTTAAACATGTAAAGATTTTGTGAAATCGAATGTATAGTGGGTCATTTTCTGGCCATTTCTGGATGTTTGTGTAGCAATGTTGTACCCTGCAGATGTGGTTAGGGGTTCACGTGGTACTGACTTTATTGCCAAAGTATGTTGCACATACAAGGAATTGGACATGGCGGGTGGTGCGTACCATTTAACAATCAACAACAATCAACACAGTGCAAGAAATAGAAACATATTAAAATGTACAAAAGAATAAAAATGTAAAATACAAACAAACAGAAAACAGCACTATAAACAAGTATGATAAAGTATCGATTGTATAAAGAAACATAGAAGGGATGTGCAGGGGAGTGTCTGGTAGGAAATTGTCCTGGGGATGACAGTCAGTGGGGGTTTAGGTTTGTTTATAACATTTCTGCATGCATGGTCAGGAACCAGTGGATGACAGACCTCACTGACATATTACAGTTAGTTTACTTATGAATTTTAATTCAGTTTTCTCTCTGTCTTGTCTCAGTAGTTTTGGCAAAAGCTTCACTATTTTTTCCCCTTTTCCATTGTATTGTTAATTTGAGAGTGTATATATTTCATCCTCCAGATGTGATGCTGACCCCTCTGCATTGGCCAACTATGTGGTGGCTCTTGTGAAGAAGGACAAATCGGAGAAAGATCTGAAAGCACTGTGTGCTGATCAGCTTGATGTCTTCCTACAAAAAGGTATGAATGCCATGTCACACGTAGCTTCTCTGCCAATGTGACTGAATGCAACATGCGGCTCTTACCCCTCAGCTCTGGCTGGTCAAGAGAGTTGTGCAGAAGGTTTTCCTCTGGCAGAGATTTCTACCATTAAGCTAACAAGCCGATTTCATTTTAGTTACTTTAAGGTAAACACTTAGAGGTGCAATAAGCTGTAAATGATCACCATCCACTACCCGTGGATCCGAAACATGTCCACCAGAGCGTGTGTTGCATCATCTGAAAGTATTTTTCTCCTCTAATCTCTCCAGCTTGTATTACAGGAAGCCTACACCTGTTTTTCTTAAGAAGATATCCTCTTTTTTTTTAATTTAAATGGCTGAAATGATCTAATCACTTTACTTTTAATTGCACAGTACAATCACTGAATTTGTTTGGCTAAGTGGGGATAAATACATGTCTCAGCGATAACTTTATTTCGTGTTGAGAACTCTGGGTTTAAAATTACAGTTTGGTTCTGTGCTCTGCAACATCATCTTAGTTTTAGTTTTGAAATTTACTGAAGTTACTAAGTCTCAAGCCTGTCAGAACTTAACTATAGACAGCTGTACTCTTTGGAAGATTGCACTGCAATACATCGTTCAAATTACCTCTTTTATTGATTTATTTTTGTGGATTGCATTTTCATCTTTATGTTCTTTGTAATGTTTTTCATGAAGCAGCTTTTCCCGTGTTAATCTCTGTGCTGTTTCTGTGTTGTGATTTGGGGTTTGTTAGACTTTGGATATATTTAGTGTAACCAGGAGCAGAGAATCCTTCAGTGCGCTTCAGGCGGAATGTCAGTACATTCTATGTCTGAGGGCCAATATGTCTTAGCAAGGTAAACACAAGGGCAATGGATCAAATTAATTGCGGTCCCATTCTATTTAGTGTGTCGCAGCCATTCATTCCAGTGAGCCACACAATGCACAATCCCAGGCCCCTTTGCCCACCGAAATGCAACAGGACCATAATTAATGTTATAAATGCACATAATTCAGTAAAATATTAAATCTATTTGCATGATCCGTGTTGTTTTTTGCAGAGACAACAGGATTTGTCGATAAGCTTTTTGAAAGTCTGACAACCAAGAACTACCTGGGAAATCCTGTCGCCAAGGAAGTACCGAAAGAAGAAGTGAAACCGCCTGCAGCCAAAGCTGATGGTGTGGAGGTAAGAAGAGTCGGGGCCTGTGTCCATACAGCATCTTCTTCTGGCATACAAGCGTCCGCAGGGCGCTGCAGAGTGCTACAACCACCGTTGTATGATAGACGACCATTACCCCTTTGCTTTTTATTACCTATTTGGGCTTCTATCTATTTATTTGACATTGTTTTTTCACCACGAGCACCAGTCGGAGATCGCTTGCTTCATACTCTGTATAGATGAGTTTGTCAACACTCATGAGCAACAGTCCGGCCGGCTGAACTGCTCCCATAAATGGGCTTCAGTCTTTGCTATTCAATTCATTTTGTAGAGCCCAAAATCACAAATTTTGCCTCAGAGGGCTTTACAATCTGTACACATATGACATCCTCTGTCCTAGGACCCTCGTATTGGCACCCTCCAAAAAAACCTTTAACAGGAAGGAAGAAAAGGAGTGACAGCGTCTGTCTGACATATAAAGCTCAGGATAGACAAATGTGGCCAAAACAGGCCTCCGTTTTCTCCAGTGACAAATAACCGCTATATGGACAGAGGCCCCGAGTGTAACATGTATTGGCTGCAATAAGACTTTGAAAAAGAGTAACTTGCCTGTGAAATATAGCTTCCCACACATCAAAGTGTCTTTTAACTACTTTTGTAGATAAGTTGGTAGAGCATATCACAGCAAATGGTGATTCTGTATTTAGGACTTCTGATGAATATCTCATTGTATATTATAGGACACTGTGTATAAATCTTCTGTTTTTAAAAACACAAAATAGAGAAGAGTTTAAGTCAAGTAAGTGTTGTTTTTTGTTTTTTTTGTTGTTTTTGTTTTTTTTCCCTCAAGGCTGAAACTCCAGAGGAAGAGAGAGAAAACAGGCGGAGAAGAAGTCCTCTGAGAAACCGCACCGACTTCAACGATGCCAGGTACGGCTGTGCCTTTGAGAGCAGCTTAATGTCGAAGCGGAGCAGATGCTATTCTGACATGAGACAACTAGGAACTTAAATCCAGTCTCAGTTAGGCTAAACATTCAGATAAACATTTCCTTCATTTCTTACTGCTGATAAAAGAATAACTAAAACATTGTTTGGCATCGTCTAGTTGATATGTTGATATATTTGCATGGTTATTTTGAAACCACGTGAGTCCTGCCTTTAGCTTGATGAAGGCCCTGGTGTCCAGTAGCCGGTCCCTTGACTGTAGCACACCATCAGTAACGGGTAGGACAAAACAATGACTGTCGTGCTAACATTCAGAACAACAGTTGACGTGTTTAATGAGCTTTGCTCCGTGAATTATATTCTTCAGCATTAAAACAGTGGAACAACATAATCATGTCATACTCACCACTTGCTCTCTCTTTATGATGTGCATTCATTCTGATCTATTGTGTTTTTCCTGTGTAAAGTTAATGAAACTCAACACTTCCTGTAGATTTTGAACACCAACAGCCTTTTAGGGAATGAACGGGGTTATGCTCCAAGAAATGCTGTAGTTGTTGTAGTATAAAATACATTGAGAAATGTGCTGAGGTTTCATTAACAGCAAGCTGCAGCAACAGCAAGTTAACACTGAGCTTATGAGCAGATCAGAAAGAAGGGAGGTCTTTCACTTTTTAAGATATGATTGAATAGACTCTCAAAACAAGGAAAATAAAACCACCTTTCGAGTAAAAACTTCTCAACTTAAAGCCTTGTTGTACTCAAAACAGACATACAGATAATTATTAAAATAAATTCCCCTCCAACTCTTCAACCACACAGGGGCCGCGATGACAGGAGGCGAGACGAGCGCAAGCGCCGCGACTTCGATCGGCACGGGAAGAGCGGAAACGAGTCCAACCGCGAGCGGGAGCGTCACGAGCGGCGCAGGGGCAGCCCCCGTGGGAGGAGCTACAGCCGGAGCCTCAGCCGGAGCAGGAGTGGCAGCCGAGGAAAGAGCAGGGACAGAGGAGGCAGAGGTGAGAAAGCCCCCCCCCCTCCCCACACACACACACACACACACACACACACAGCCAATGACAACAGCACAGGGAGGGCATCAGACCCAGGAGAAGTTCCTGAAGCTCCTGTCGGCACGGTTGAACTGTGCAGTAGTGATGCAGAAGTGCTGCTGGAGACATCCTCGGTGGGAAATGCACAGAGGAGCTTAAGGTTTTTGAGAGTAGGCTGAACAGAGCTCTGGATGTAGCTGCTTGTATTATATTCTACTGGATTGTTGGTCAGTGTTTTATCGATAAGGAACAATGTGGACAGCTTTGAAATTACATCAGTGGGGATTCAACAACATGGCCTGGAATTGGCCATATCATTCACAGGGTTACGGTAATCTACATTAGCTTAAGCTTCAAATTGTTCAGGGTTTGAATTTCTGCTGTGGTCCACGACTCTGCTGTTATACTTATTTGTGTTTTGTGCTCGTCTTTAACAGACTTCAAGTCAAAGTTTGAGTTGGAAAGGAAGGATACAGACTGCTACAACTCTTCCAACACATCCGGCTCGCAGCAGCATCAGCAGCAGCAGCATCAGCAGCATCAACAGCAGCAGCAGCATCAGCAGCAGCAGCAGCATCAACAGCAGCACCCATCGCCTCTCCTGCCGCTGCCCACACCTCCGCACCCGTTTTCTTCCTCGTCGTCCGCTGGCGTCTCCGTAGCCGGAGGTGTTCCCGTAGTAACACCGGCTCACCTGCCCGACAGCACCACAGACAGCTGGTCCGGCTACTATGGCGCCCAGAGGCAGGATGGTGGCATCAAGCCATTCAGCAACAAGAGCGTTTCGCTTAAACAGCGCTGCAGGGACTACGACGGTAGGAACAGAGTGAATCGTCAATTCCTCAAAGCCTTTGATTTCTGCTATCTATCAACTCTTTTTTTCGCTGGCATCTCGGTGCCTATTGGATGTTTAGAACTATTTCCCAAGAAAATGATGAGGTCATTGTGTGAAGTTTGCTGTGTAACTGCCACCATTTTCTTCTGAGGGTTATTGATTGCCTTGTTTAGTCTCATCGCTAATGACCACTGTTAGGCACTCCCGTACTTCTTTCTCCCCCGTGAAAGGAAGGAAAGCAAGCAGGCTCGCACCCACCTCCCCCCAGAGACACACAAGGGTTTAAACTTACCCACTGTCCCTGAAGCACACTGCTATCTGTCACAGTGCTCAAACACTGCCACCAGGGACCCCGTTCCTTAATGAGACTGTGGGGTAAATACATGCACTCTGTGCCTTAGCTGCTTTGAACTTGGACAAGCTTTCATCTTGTTTTTTTTTTTTTTTAATTCTCATTGCCCTTTTATTTGTTCTCATTTTCCTTTTCAGTCATATTTTTGTGAATTAGTTTGACTTCCAGGCGCCCAAAGCCCTTAGATGGTTTACAGGAGGTTACCTTGGAGCTGAGAGCATGTTTGTTTATTCTGTGCTGAACGTGTAATACACCTACATGTGTGTGTAAATCCGTCTCTCTGTCTCACACAGAAAAGGGATTTTGTGTACGTGGTGACCTTTGTCCGTTCGACCACGGAAACGACCCGCTCATCGTCGATGATGTCAATCTGCCGAACATGATTCCGTTCCCTCCTCCGCCTGTCATGCCCCCTGCTGGCCTGCCCATGCCCCCGATCACTGAGCCACCCCCTCCCCTCAGGATGCCCGTGATGCCGCCCTATGGCCAGCCTCCACCACCAGGGGTCTTCCCTATGAGTGGTAAGTAGTACCGCAACGACACGAATACAACTTCTAGGAATCACGTATGTGGTGCCATTTGATGTGAACAGCAACATTTCCAGTGGCTAGTACAACAACAAACTACTGCAGCTAGTTACAGTGCCTGCCACTATTCACCCTCCATGGTGGTTTTTTTTTATTTTGCTGCACTACAACCTGGACTCAAAATGGATTTTAATTGGAATTTTATGTAATGGGCCTGCACAAAATAGTGAAATAGGGGGAAAAAATGTTTGTGTGTGCATTTATAGTCACCCCCCTTTGCTGTGAAGCCTCTAATTAAGATCTGGTGTTACCTCTTTTCAGTTTTTTTTCATCTTCACCAATTTTGACTATTTTGTGTAGGTCCATTACATAAAATCTAAATAAAAAAACAACTCTAAATCCAGGTTGTAATGTAACAAAATAAGAAGAACATGGGTTGAATACTTTTTGTAAGGCACTGTATTCTCCACCTTTGTTTGCACCATGAGACACATTCCTCCATCTCTGCTAACGTGCTCCCTCATCAATTTCTCAAACTTTGTCTGGCTTCTACCACCACTTAAGTAAATAGAATTGATTATATCTTGTGTGTTTTATGTAGCCTTTCATTTTATGTGACACCGTTTCCATAACTGTGTCTATAGCTTATCCAGAGGCATCTGACAAACAGTTATTTAGATAAACGGGTACACATTCACTACCTTGTTTATTTCTTTCTTGTAAGTTTATCCTGGAAATCCAGCTTTGCTTTATACAGTATCGGTATCGGTTTTCTGTAGAGACTACGATATGTGTGAAAACACACTTAACATAGACTTCACACTAGAGAGAGGGTTTTGTTTTCACCTAGTGGGAGAAACATACTTTCACTGCTTTTCTTCTTACATGCCATCCTGTCTCATGATGCTGATTCTGATGTTGAAGCATTGCATTGAACAGTTGTCATCACTTCCTGCCACCTTTACGGCCATATTAAAGCAAATGCTTCAGTAGCACAAACCAGAGACTCACTGTCATACCTGAGACATAAGCGTGGGCTTGTATCTCCCTCAGGACCCCCAATGATACCAACCGGTGTCATCGATACCCCCAACCACCAAACGGCAATCACTTCCTCTCCTCCTATCCGACCACCTGGTGTGGGGCTGCCGCCTACTCTTCCTCCTCCACCTCCGCCCTCCTCGTCCCCATCAGTGTCTCTTCGTCCCCAATATGTCCAGTCTGAATGTAAGCAGGGGTGCTTTTTGTGTTCGGATTAGGAAATTGTGTTTGTGATGCTCGATGCAGTGACGGCGGTTGACCAGAGGGTAGCGCTGTTAATTAACTGAAGACAATTAACAAGAACTCTGCCACATCCTATTGCCATGTGCTCTTTTCCCATACTTCAGCTCATGAATAATTCCAACTACACACAAAATGGAGTTGTTGTTTTTTAGTTACAAACTCAGGTTTTTGACCCTAATTCAACTCATTACTGTCATGAAAGGTCCCATTTTGTTTATTTTAGTGTTACAGTGTCTCAGGATAAGAATTATCATATTATGATGTTTTAGTTTTTTTTAACTCATCACATTATTTACAAGATTGGTTTTGTGCTAGCTAAGTCACTAAATGCCAGGCATCACTTATTTAATCACGCAGTACTGCTTGACTTGATTGTGTAATTTCAATTTTCCTCTGTTGTTTTTTTTGTGTTTTTTTAAGTTCACATTATTATTATGGCTGTTAAAAGTGTTTGATATTCCCTCTGAACCTGTGTGTCTGTGTTCATTTCTACACATTAGATAACTATGATCCAGAGGGCTATAACCCAGAATCTCCAGGCCTGACTGCAGCAGGTCGTAACTCGTACCGTCAGTTCATTCCCCGGGTGCAGACCCAGCGCTCCAACCTAATCGGCCTCACCTCCAACGAAGGACAAGGATCCAGAGGTAACCAGTATTGGCCTTCTTAGTACTCGCACTCTCCCCCAACCTAATCCTGGGTAATGGGTACTGTTGGGCTGATATTTGATTGGGAAAGTGTGAATGCTTGTCCAAATAAAAGTTATGTAGACGATTGCAAAAGCTCTCTCGTGTTAATTATGGTTTCTCTTTGTTTTCTTTCTGTGTTTTATCTTCTAGCTGCCAACATAGTGATACAGACGGAGCCTGCCACTGCAGCCAGCACTCCTGGAAATAACGTGTGCCGTTTCAACACAGAGCAGGACAGCAGGAAGAGAACCATGGGACCCAGTACAGCTGAGGGACCAGTTGTTAAAAAACCCTGGATGGAGAAGTACGGATTTTAAAGATGTTATAATTTGAAAGGGAGAACGTTCTTAATCTTGGATCGCGTGTGAACCGTACTGCATTAGGGTGGTGTGCAAAGATCCCATCACAGAAACTACCCACCTGCTTTTTCCTGTAAAAGTAATGGGAGCCTTGTTTCAAGCCAAGGTGACTCATAGTTCAGGAGCCCATCTTTTGTGTCAGTTATGGGAAGAAGGTGCACACAAACCACACCACCATGACTATGTTGCTTCATTTGCAAAGGGTCTACTTGTAATCTATCCTAAGTGTCAACCAGGTTGACATGTGTCACTAGTAACTAGTATAGGGTTAAGAACTTCAATATGAAGGCAGGAACTCAAACCTCAGGCGTGAAGCCGGGTTGCATTTTACTGCCATCATCGTTATCATCTCGCTCAAAATGTCGATGAGCTTGTCTGCTTTTATTACAAATTTCTCTTTAAAACAAATACTTCAGATGTCAGCATCACAGTCTTCTTCTCGTTTCAGGCTAAGCTTTAACAACCAACATAAGAACACTTTCCCCAAGAGGTATTACTATGTGAACACCAAGTTGGAGGTGCGCAAGATCCCACGTGAGCTCAACAACATCACCAAGCTCAATGAGCACTTCAGCAAGTTTGGAACCATCGTAAATATCCAGGTAAAATGCACCAGTTGACCAAAAAAGGCCATTACTACTATACTAACCTGAATGCACCACAGTTAAATCGTACAAGTCTTATACATCATCATCACAACTAACAGCATGACATAGCCTGGAACGGCGGCCACATAAAGCACATACATAACCCACAGATGGCCGACGCCGCAACATCAGCATAAAATCCAATCGTGCACCCATCAAAAGCTACCCAATAAACAATATTATTCGGCTTGGAGACACCAGTCACTTGTTAAAGCAATACATCGGCTGTACACTGAGTGAAAGAGGAGGGGCTACTCGCAATCTAGCATTTGCAAAATGCACTTCCTCTCAATAAGTCCGACCTATCAAGTAAACAAGAAGCGAGACTTTTTATTGGTCGTAGTAAGATAATTGAAACGGCTTCATTGACTGCTATTCACTGGATGATCCAGCAAAAAAAGAGGCCTTCTGATTGGATCAAGTGGGTGGACCTAGGCCCACCCAAAGCTACTCTGCAGCTTTGCATTGACGTTCAGCTCTGCAGAAGAATTAGTTTCATCATACACAGATACCTAATCTCCACGCTCTCTAAATCCAGGTGGTGTTTGGCGGAGACCCAGAGGCGGCGTTAATCCAGTACACAAAGAATGAAGAAGCCAGGCGGGCCATATCCAGCACGGAGGCGGTCCTCAATAACCGCTTCATCCGTGTGTACTGGCACCGCGAGCCCGGCACCAACGCAACAGGGCTTCAGCAGCAGGAGCAGAGTTCAGGCAGCCAGGCGGCCGGATCGGCACCCAGCCAGGCGCTGCAGCACGGCAACATGCATAAGGTTAGTATCAAGAGCCGACGCATACGGAAGTCTCACCACGCTTCTGCCACCCTTCATCCGATTAACTTTTTTTTCTCCTCTTTTCTTTTATCAGCAGGGGATAAAGCAGCACAGCCCGGCCGCCTATGTGTTGAACAAGACCGTACCAAAGCATCGCATGCCAGCGCTGCCTGGGATCACAGCTGCAACCAAGCCAGACAGCCTGAACCCAAACACAGACACTGTCATTGTACGTCTTAGTCTCTACGTGTGTGTGTGTGTGTGTGTGTGTGTGTGTGTGTGTGTGTGTGTGTGTCAGGTGATGCCAGACCTGGATGAAATGGCGATTTCAAATATATGATTTGTTTCAACAAGCTTGGAATACCACACTTGTTAATATCTTCAGCAGAATACAGATACGGTCAGGCTGGTAGTTTCTCTGTGAAAAGTTGATTAAGTTGAACAAAGCCTGCTGATATGCTCACAATGCTAATGCTAACATGCTAATGTTGAAACGGGTATAACGTCAACTCTCTTAGTTCACCATATTGGTATGCTCGGTATAATATCAGTACTATGACTTGGTGTGTCCTGTCTAGAGGCTTTCCAAATAAGAGGGAGAGACGTATCTGCCAGCTGTCTGTCCAACGTGCTATTACACTAAGCAGTGAAGATGGAATATTCATAACAGCTTAACAGGATATAACATTAGGAGCAATGCAGGAGAATAAATAGTATTTTGTTGGCACTGCATTCTTGCTCATATCTATTGCAGCTGCAGAGGAGCTCATTCTGGAGACCTAAATGTGTTGCTCACTCTCTCTCACTCTCTGTGACACTTAGGTCTCGCCTGCCCTGATGAACACCCAGAAGGGCCCTTACACTTCCACACCCCTCAAGTCCTCCTCGAAGAGCTTTGGGAAAACGGGAAAAGCACTAGAAGCACAGGAAGTCCTCAAGAAGAAACAGGCATGCAGCTTCATTTTTTAATACGTATTTTGACGGGTACAAGAATAGCAAAGCTGGGAGTAACCTTTTATTTTTTTTCTCTGAGGCCACTAGTGGGAAGCCGACTACCGTTGAGAAATGAAATTTCACCAACAGCAAATGGCATATTTTTCACCTCAGTGACTGTATTTCATTTGCTTTTTCCCCCATTTAGGAGGCTTTAAAACTCCAGCAGGACATGAGAAAGAAGAAGCAAGAGATGTTGAAGACACAGATTGAGTGCCAGAAGGTAAGACCGGCCTTAATGTCCCTTCCTATTCTTTTATCCCTGGAACTCTTGCTGTTCTGCTCATCTTTTTTTTTTTTTTGTTTTTCTCCTGTGCCTTTTACTATATTCTCCCTCCACTGTGTCTCGTCTACTGTCGTTTACACCTTCTTCTCTCACCGCTTGTCCTTCTGTCTCCAGGCCTTGATAAACCGCCTGGAGAAGAACCGAGGGACGAGACCTGAGGAGCGAGCCAACATCATGAAGACGCTAAAGGAGCTGACCGAGAAGATCGCACAGCTGCAGAATGAAATGAACCCCGCCTCCCAGGTAGCCAGTGCTAAACCAAACCACGGCCAGTCCAAGACAAAGACTGATGTAAGTTTGGGCCCTTTTGGTCGGGAGCTTGCTGGGAATGCTTCATTTCCTTTATTTAGAGACAGGAGTGAAGTTCTGTCCTGCCACTGTAGATCTAATATGAAGCTCTTCATCAGTCTTTCATTGCTTTTATGTATTTTTTTTCTGAATTACGTGTACTTTATTTGACATATGTGACCAGGCACAGAAGGAACTGCTGGATGCTGAGCTGGACTTTCACAAGAAGTTGAGCTCTGGAGAGGATACAACAGACCTCAAGAGAAAACTGGGACTGTTACAGGTGGAGGTAATGCACGCATACACACACACACAGTACATAACCACAGGCCAACGATCTGAGAAGATAGCTAGCACTGCCACAAACGGGTCTATAAAGACCTGTTTGGACCACACACAAAGAGATGGACAATGGCAGCAGCTTGCATCAGCAGCATTTTTCTTGAGCGCAGAATTTGAGGCCATGTGACACTAAGAAACTAGAGGAAGTCAGCCAATAAGATAGCTGTCACATGTATCACGCAACACTGCCTGATTAAGTAAAAAAGTAACATGCGCAGATTTAGATTCAATGGGAGTGAATGGGAGCTATAAAGCACTTGATTTGGACTTTAATGTATCGCAGTACATAAACTGTACAGGTCGTTATAATGACCGGATTCACAGTTGATCTGTGTGCGGTTACTACGAGTAAGAATTGTGAGATTTTGTGCTGTGTATAAGTTTGTGTGTGCCACAAGTGCAATGGGACTGAATGCACCGTCATAGACATAATGCATTGTGTAACTCATAAACTGTATTGATATTATAATGAGCTTATGTTTAGTTAGTCAGTGCGTAATGCTTAGCATTTTAAGATGAATTGAGGTAGTATTGTATACAATCAATGTCTATAAGATTGTTTTAAAATATTTTTATTAACTATAAAAGAAAAGTCAAAAGGTCACTTATAAATACAGTTCATGGGTTATATGAATTCATTATTTTGGTAGCATTAAAACTAAGAGTTTTGGCAAATCAAAAATGTATTTTGTAAATCATGCTTTCAGGGATATCTAAAGTACACTGGTATCAATATTTGATTGGTATGCGAGTTACAAATTTAAAAAACTGCCACAGAATATGTACAATATGCAATCCCCAGATGTTTTGTTAGTGTAATACGGTTTGACACAAACTTTGAAGCGTATTGATATTAACATATCATATTTATTTTGCAATAATTGAGTTGATAATTGTTTCTTACACGTCACACGTACTTCAATCTGTGAATTTATTTTGTTGAGGCTGCTCATCATAACATTAATTAGAAGAAAGAAAGAAAAAGAAAAGAAGCTGCGTCCACAGCTGTTATTCAGCTCAGACTTCTGGACGAGGTCGGCCGTGTCACAAGATCAGCCGAACAAGAACATAGCTTTTGTGAGCAACTCCCTGCCCAGCATACGTATATATATATATTTTTTTTTTCTCTACCCCTGTGGGTCTTAAATTAGCTAGTTATTAAAAATGCATATGCCACCCCTCCACCCTCATACAAACCCAACCCTCCTTCTGCACATTAAACTGCAGCCACTTAAGCAAGCCCAGAGGAACAGCCGCTAACGAAGCCAAATCAGACACCGGTCCTACTCTGATGGAGCCGGCTTCATTAAAGTTTGAGCTGCTGGTCCTTGTAAGAAAATTGTGGGGCGACAATTAGAGGAGAGAAGTGAGCACGGGACAAATGGATGAGAGAGTGGTTGTGAGGTTGTGGAATGCTTAGGAAGCGAGGAGATGTCACTTTAAAAATGTAGGAGTGACGACTAATGGTGAAGGGCAGAGAGTGATGGAGGAGGAGGCCAGAGTCAAGTCAAGAAAATGTTTAAAATATGTAATATTTTCCTTATACTGAATGGTTTTTTTTAGATTTCAGAATGTTTTTAGAAGTTGTTTATTGTATGAATTAAGATTTGATTTTGTTTTTAAGTGAGACACAATGCGTGTTTTTGACATTGAAAAGCACAACACGTCTACGCAAGTTTTCCACATCTGTTCCGAATGATTATTTTAACACGGCCAGGTGGCGCCTATTCACTCTCGTCTGTTGAAAGAAAAGCGGCAGCCAGTCGGTTGTTTTATAACATTAAACCTCCTGTCCTCCTCCAGGCGACTCGGTTGGGTCTGATCCGACCCCCAGCGGGTCGAGGCCGGGGCCGAGGGAAGTTGGTGCTGGAGCCCGGGTCGGTATACGTGGGCCGCGGCAGGGGACGGAGCCGGGAGATGATGGGTCGAAGCGGGACCGTGAACCGCATGGTGGTGGACCACAGACCCAGGGCCCTGTCTATTCTGGGGGTCACTCAGGAGGAGAAGGAAGAGCTGATGCCACACTTTGTGGTGAGGACAGTGTTGCACATTTAGTAACAGCTTCAGGAGTTACACTAAGAACTCTTACGCAGAACCGAATTGATTATTGAAGAATTACACTGAAATTAATACACTTTTCTTTTTTTAATGTTAGAATTTTGGTGAGATCGAAGATATCCGTGACCAAGACGCAAACAGTGTTGTCATGACCTTTAAGACGCGAAGCGAAGCCGAGAATGTAAGTCACATTACTGTGGACCAGACCCGTTCTTTCTTCTTTTCCTTATCACCTAAAATACTAAATAAATACATATTAAAGTTTTTTTTTCCGGTTTAACTGGTACGAAATGTATAACTTGCAACTGTCCTCCTGTTTTGTTTTGTATAGGCAGCTAACCAGGGAGCTAAGTTCAAAGGCCGTGTGCTGCAGATTTCCTGGTACAAGCCTAAGACGCCTTCTGTTGCAACAGAGCCGGAGGAAGAAGAAGCTAAAGATGAGGACAATACGGTACGACACACACACACACACACACACACCCCTGTGGCTTCATGTGTTTCCATCGGTAGCCTATAGCCACCCAGAAACCATGAAAGGAAGTCCGTTTACAACACATCTTGAGATTCTAAGCGGGAGAAGTTTAGAAAGTTTTAGTTATATTCACAGAATTTATTTGAACATTTCTTTCCGTTGCTTCTAAATCTTTCACTGCTGCTCCCAATGGAGAATCAGGGCCAGCCTCTCGGTACTAAGAGCATCTGAGCCCTTTGAGTAAAACTGCATTACTGTCAGGTGAAATCCTCGTACTGTATTTCCATGTTTTTGGTTTGTTTTTTCGAGGTTGCGTTCTTCCTCGTGTGCGAGTTAAGTTTTGACTTTTTGTGCCACAGAAGGAAGCTAGTGCTTATTTGCCCGGTGAAGAAGAAGAGGAGGAGGAAGATGACGATGAAGATGACGAGTATGAGAGCCGGTCATGGAGACGATGAGGGCGTTGGGATCCGTCTCCAGCAGAATGCGGCGTTTCCCCTCCTCGCGCGCAGATAGAATCAATACAATAGACTATTTTTTTTTTTTTTTTTTTTTTTTCCTTTCCAGTATTTTCAAACTAATTTTAGACTCTAATCGAAGTAAAAAACGTCTTTTACTTTACTGTACATCAGAAGAAGTTTAGAGGGCAGAGGTTTTGTATCCCTCGAACTGAACAATTATTTAAAACCTCTCACTTTTGCTGAGAAAGATAAATGTTAAGTTGTTCTTATAGATAGAAAAAAACCTATGTAAGTTTCAGTGTGCATACCAGATGATTAATATCAGTAATGCACAACATTTGTGTCTACTGTGAATAGGTATTTTTATACATACTGTATTTAAGCTCTTTTCTCACCAGTTTTTTGGAAAAAATCTTGTCCTCAGTTCAGGGTCAGCCATTCCTTCACCAATAGAACGTTCTCTGTTGCTACCAGAGAGATATTTATTTATTTTTCCACTGCATAGATGCCCCGTGCCGTACCTGTATCGGTGCGGTATGGTTTTCCATTTCACTTTGGTCTGTTTGTTTCGGTATGGGTAAGCCCAAAAATGTTAAACAATCCAAATATGTTTGACTCACTGTGGTGGCATGAATGCATACTAGTTTGCGCATGTTGTACTCTAAACAAACAAACAAACAAACTGCTTAGCACCCAAAGGTGGCGATGCCCTAACCATATGAGAGCCAGTGCAGGTACAGAAGGATACCAGTGCAATAGAAAAATCTAAACTATGTTTACAAATTGCCGTGTCCATGCACGTCCGATACAGTCTTGTAGTAAATCTCCATATTTTTCCCGCTTGCGTGTTGTTCACTAAATGCCACTCTGTGTAAATATAAACTCCCTCACGGGAGTTCTACATTTTCTAAGAGTGTGTAACATTTTTCACTTGTTGTATTCTGTCTCCTGGTCATCCAAATGGCCGGGCAGGACAAGGATCAGGTCACCCATTTCAAAAATGTGAGATCCCGAGACAGGTGTTTGAATGTAATACTGAACAGTTGATTTTAATATAT